GACCTTGTCCTGCCCCCATCTCAAACCCACTTGGTATTGGGATTGGAAAAGGACACGAAAGTACTTGACTAAGCGAAAGACGAAAATGACTCTCACCCGCCCGGTTGCCCTGCTACAGGAGGCCGTCACCCATCGGCATACCTATTAGCCACCATCTTTGTTTTTGAAAAAGAATAGGCCCTTGTTTGAGTCCCATTTTGGAGGAAAATACACTTTTGAATAGTGTACTGATTGAATACGTGTGATTAAAAATAAAAATAAAAAATTAGATTTGAGTGTAATATTCTTTTATTAAAAAATGTGTAATTGAAATGATCTTAAAATATTGTTGAAGAATAACCTCTTTGTGTTTTTTTTTTTTTTTTTAATTAAAGAATGGGCCTCAAACAAGCTAGGACTTTTAAGTTTTTAATCCAAATTTGCCTAAATTTATCATATCATTCAATTAAAAAGAAAATTGATTCCTTCTTTCCTTCCGTCCAATCACAAGAAGGCAAAGGAGAAAAGAGGAAGACATGGTGACGTTAATTGTAGCCACCACCGTAGACCCGGCTTCAATTGGCCCAACCTCTGCTCTTCTCTCCATGCCCGGCTGGCACCCCGGGCCCCTCCTCCAGGTTACAACAAAATTCCTTCTCAAAAATGGCTTCTTGGCATCAATTATAGTAAATTAGTCAGATAATTTATAAGAGGTTAAGAACCTGTAAATCTTAAACGAGTTCCATATCCAATTTGCCGTGCAAAACGGATTCAGATACTGCTAAATTTGAAATTTGGTGAAGAGATTCGAAATAAAGTGTACATGTTTTGCTAAACTCGAAATATTTACCCTAGTTTATTTTGACATTGTTAAATTTTTTTTTTTTTTTTGTTGGTAATGGTTAAACACGAGTAATTTACCTATAAATAAGGAAAAAATAACTTGTTCAATCATGTTTGGAAACAAAAAATTGTTCAAAGGTAAGTTTGATTTACTTTTAAGCTTTGCCAAGCATGGACTAATATGCTAATGTCCTCCTGCCTTTTATTGGGTTGGTTCAGGGAATTCCAAGTTTTGTGAATGATGAAGTGAGACTATTGAAGCATGATAACAGCATTGTAAGAGAGGACCACCTGGATAGGCGATGGGAGGAGGTGACTGGTGAGGCTGTTGACGAGGTTATATTTCTCAGCAGGCACACTGCTGTTTCTAATCGTCCCTCACTAACAATCCATCCCATTGGTATAACCACCCTCTTGATAAGTGGATTTTTTGCTTGTCATTCTTAATTTTAGTAACTTGGTTTGAATGATCTCTAGGTGTGCCCCATTTACAAGAAGGGAATGTCCCACCAACGGGTGGGAAGCCAGGATGGGCTGCACCGCCTAATCCACGCATAGGACCGTGGCTGAGACTATTGAAGGGTATTGCTGAGGCACACAATTTAACTCCTGAATTTGAGGTAACATTTATTGTGGAGAGTACATGGTGCACCTAATTTTCGGCTTTGCTGCCTTGTTTTTCAAATGCTCTGTTTATCATTGAAAAGAGAGAACTCCGAAAGATCCTTCTCAACTATAGAGATCCTGTTGCACTGCATTACTATATGTCGAAGGAAGAAATAAGTATTTTTTTTTTTTTTTTTCCAATTCAGAAGTATTAATCTCCCTTTGAAATACCAGCAATAGAAACGCCTTAGTTCTGTGAGGGAAACAAGATCTCCAAATTATATTGGAAAGGGTTCTATAGAATCCAATGTTAACAACCTTACGTGAATTTGTAAAGGTTCTAGAAAGATTCTCAGAAAAATGTCATTTGAAAAGAACAAATCAAAAACTTACAGTGCCCTTTTAAGTTCATTAGAACTGAATATTCCAATTCATTGCCTCATTTTCATGGAGTGAATTACCAAATTAATAGGGTTGTTCACTTCAAAAAATGCATCAACGGAATCCTGACCATCTCCCCTCTATGTGGGCATCACCTGCATACTAAAACATCAGGTTAGGAAGCAAAGGTCATCGATCAAGAAAAAGGTCAGGTAACCCCTTTGCACTCCAACGATCAAATCAACGGTCAGACAAAAGAAAAATGAGTACAAGAGATGGGAGAGAATTTGGCTAAGGTTTGAGAATATACCTCAATTGTGAAATGAACTCACGTATACATAGAGAAATGAAATGGGCAAAGTGAGGAATGTGAAATGGGCCCAAGTTCAAGCCCAAGATGCAATTATTTAATTAAATGAGTCCAATGAATTGAATAGTCATGTCACATCGACATATATGTGAACCCCACCATCTATGTGTGCCATGCAATTTGTAGGTGTAACAAGGATCATTAGCAACCTCACATATCCCTTTTAGTAAACTGAATAAGAGAAGAAAATCCATGAGATATGAACTTCCAAGTGTTTCTAAGGGAAACTCTAATAATTCTTTCGTAATCTAAACCTTGATGCTCGGATTCTTCGAATTAGTAGGAGTATCCGTGTCGGACACAACAGGACATAAGCATAGGTATGGAATATGTGTCAGATCCTCAAAATTTCAATCGGACACTTAGTCCTTTTTGCTGCTTCTTCTTTTCTTCTTTCGTTTTTTTCTTTTCCTTTTCCTTTACTTTTCCTTTTCTTCTTTCTCGCTTTTGCTCTCTATAAACCTAGCGTCGTTGCTGAAAGGGTGGAGAAGGATGGGGGCACTTGGTTTTCCTTTCTTTTTTCTCTCCATTTTCTTCTTTTTTCCTTCTTTCTCTCTCTGTAATAGTAGTTTAGGGTTTTGTTTGTAAAAAATGAAAATGGTTTCCATGTGGTACTACTTAGTGCTCCATTAAGTTCAAATTGCAATCAAGTCCCTCATTATCTATTTTATATAACATTTAGTAATTCAATGATTGTAAATTAAACCCCAAAATTTTATTTTATTCGTCTTAACCCCTTATTCAATACTCATTTCCTTCTTTGTGAATAATATATTTTGGTCTATTCAAAACAACATCTTGGATGGTAAAAAAAATTGAAATTTGAAATATGTACCCAACTACCCATGTCCGAAATTTGGACTTCTTTTAGTCATGGCCTCGTATCCTACATCTTAGGAAAAAAGATCTAGCACTTAAGTACTCATACCTGATACCCATAACTGAGCCTGAGCATCATAGATCTAAACTATTTGGGTCTAGAGGGTACTCGCTTAATTGTCTTCATTTGGGGAAAAAAAATAACAAACAAACACATGACATATTTCTTTTCATTTTTATTTATTCATGCAGGTTACGTTGGAAGCTACTCATCATGGACCAGAAACTAACTCACCCACAATGTTCGTAGAAATTGGTAAATTTCTAATTGTCCTTCATGTCGAGAACCTATAAACTTTTTGGATTATCATCACACAAGATTCCGTACATGCATTCTTATCTGATGCATTATTTTGACTTTTTCTTTTTTTACTAGTCACTACCATATTGTCTTGTTGTAGGTAGTACAGAAGAGTATTGGAAGCGGCAGGATGCTGCACAAGCGATTGCCTTAGTTCGGTATTCTTTTGAGTGTATAGACTAGGTTTTACAATATGTGTTATAGATTATTTTGCCCTTTGCTTTCATAGTGACCCCCCCCCCAACCCCATCTCCATACTGCTTGTGTGCTTGCAGAGAGTAAGACATGATTTACCCGTTCTCAAATTTACAAGACTCTTTTAATCTTGCTGGATATGAGCTCTGCCATAAATTTGTAGTCATTTCTCATTGGATTTGTTACATCATATTGTCTTCGTAGGTTTCACACTATATGCTCAACCTTATCCAAATTCAAGTTTAGAATTTCAAAAGAACTATATTCCCATGATTAGTGTTATTCCAGCATGATTGCGGTTATAACTTTTTGTTTTATGATCCCAGTTTATTTAACCATTTCTCTGGTCCCCTATTCATATCCGTTTCAAAACTGGAAGCTAAATTCAGTTAACTTTCTTCTAATACTAGCACTTTGGCTTCTCGTTGCCATTTGTTTATACTTCCACTCGCTTCTTCAATTGCCAAAAGAAATAAACTGGTGTTTTATGATCATTTGTAAGCATAATAATGAAGTGTATTAAGATAGGATGCTGAAATTATTTTTCACCTATCAAGACCGTTCTGAATTTAAATCTATCCGTACCTGTGATCATTGTAGCTTGTCTGGGAAGGTCTAGGACTTGGAGGAGGAGCTGCAGTGGGAGATTGGAAGAGGTAATGATTACAAACCGATTATTGCTCATGGAAGTAGCTATTTTTAAGGTGTGATTGTGATAATGTGATTCAAGGAGTTGATTCTATAAGAGTGTGTTTGCTTAGCTTAAAAAGTTTGAGTTGTAGAAAAAATTATACGTTTATCGGTCAAAGCTAAAACTAATTAAAGTACATATTTTGAGAAACAAAGAACTCATTTTTAAACTTAAAATTTAACATATGTAAACGTGTTTTGGAACAAAAACCTTTACTTTTTCTAAGCTTAGCCGAATTTTTACTTTTTATTTGATCAACATGGACTTCCTCATTTTGATTTTCAAGCAATCTTTGAGTTTGTTTCACTTTTGTATATAACACATTCCTAGATTTCATAACAATAGCCGTTCTAATTAGCGAAAATGTGAGAATGCCGCTATTTCACCTATCTCTTCTCCAAGCAGAAAAGGGTTTTGAACATTACTGTTTAATTGAGAGACATCTGTCTGCAAATGTACTGTTTCATTGTTTTTGTGATGCTCATTTATTTTCTTCATTATACTTTCACTTATGCAGGAATGATGGTCAAAACAAGGTTCTTCTAGGAATTGGTGGTGGACATTATGTACCACGACATATGGATATAATTGTGTAAGATATTTTCATTTGTGAATATTTTAAATGACGTGGCTCTTTTTATATCACCAATATATATATATATATATATGGCACATTATAATGGGTGGTGAAATTAGGTTTAAAACTAACCATTATCTTTTACCACCTATTGTAGTGTGCCACGTCACTCGATGCTTAGGAGATCATAATTGATATATATATATAGATAGATATATATAAGAGAATATCCTTCGTGTTCTTAGAGACGTTAGTTGAATCTCAACCCAAAGGTGATTTTCAATTTTTTTTTTTTTTTTTTTTTATTTTTGGATTGTTTTAGAACTTTTTTTAAATGATTTCAAAAAAAATGGTGGGGGGGTG